TTAGGAAGGTTGTGCAGAGTGTATTTCTCCTGTTTATCTGGAGTGTTGGTGTGTGGTGTTTTTGATTTAAAAGGTACTTGTATTCATGAGGTTCCCTTCCTCCCTCTCGTTCATCCTTCCTGTGCTATCCTCTTGGAAATCATGTTAGCATGCTTACAGGCAGGCCTGGGCCCGTGTTGATGGTGTTTCCAAGTGAACTCCATTGTCTTGACAATGCTATGAAAAATACAATTCTAACTGAAAACTTTCAACAGCTACTGAGAAGGAAGCAGCAGAAACAGCATGGTGGTAGCTGGAAGATTTTTCCTGGTAGGAGCTTCTTGCAGCAGGAGTGTTGTAGCCCAGACCCTTCTTAGTTGGGCTGGGGGCACTTTAGGAAATGGACAGCTAGTGCTGCTAACCTGGTCTTATTTTAGGAAAGGGAAAGACTTGAAGAAGTAGGGTAGATGTTCAAGGTAGTCTTTGCACTTCAGCCTGTCAGTTTGGTTCTTGACTGTTGAGTGTTTCAGCAGCAGAGTATTTTCAAGTGGGAAAAACAAGATTATGAAAGCTCTTAAACTGAATATTGTGAACTTGCCATCTTACAATTATGCAAATTTCTAATGTATTTTTAAGTGACGAGGGGCAATGCAATGAACTAATGACCTGCAAAATTGCACCTAAAGTGTTTCTCACAAACCAGGTGCTTTTAGGATGGAGAGATATTGAAGGGCCTCAAAAAATGCCCTTGTGTCTTTTTTTTTTCCTTCCTTTTTACTTCAATAGTCCTCTTTAGGCTAGTATGTGTTTTGGTTAGCATAAGTTTTTAGAAAGTATCCATGGTTGCCGTGAGTGACTGATGGTGTGGTAGATCATGGAGAAGTGGGGTCTGAGGCTTAAGGAATGAAGCTGTGGGGAGCTATCCTGAAAAGCAGTTTAAGTGCATGAAGGGTGGGGAAGGTGAATTGCAAAGGTCCTGGTGTGGAGCTGGCAGAGATCTCTGCTGACTTGGACTGGACGTAGTTCCTTCAGGTAGTAGTACACTTCATTCTCTTCTACCATTATTGAAATAGGCAAAAGCTGTGAATAGCTCAGTGCTTTTTTGGAGAACTAGTGAGGATTTTGCTTTTGTCCAAGATTTTGCTCAAGTTTATGGACAATAACTAAGTTTGGGGGACTGGACCTCACCTGCCAGTGGCTGATGGATGACACATTGTGCTAGAAAAGCAGGAGGCAATTAATACAACCTTTTGAGAGGAGTTCCCACTGTGCATTGGGACCTTAAACCAACAAAAACACTTCTTCAAGTGCATTCATCCAGCCACCTGTAATAATTTTTCTATGGGCTTTCCTTCCTGTCCTGAAGCTTGATTTAAAGAAAGCTGCCAGAGGCTAAAGGTGACTGGTTGACATGACATGGCAGGACTGTGCAAAGTGGTTTTGAGATCAATATGTTAAAAACTGTGTGTGTTCTACCCTGCAGCAGTGTAATAACTTTGAGAGGCAGGAGCTGGGGGGAGCAATAACAGGCAGAGAGAAGGTATCTCTCCTTTCCTTGATTTTCCACACTCTGTAAAATCCTTCTGTGTGATGTGACTATCCAATGGGTTTTCTTCTTATGCTGCCTATATGCATGAATATTCAATGATGAGACATGAACAGCATGCTTGTGCCCTGCCCCTGCAGCCCCACCCACAGCTCTCTGTGCAGTGGGTCCAGTGACAAAGAAACAGTTTTCGTCCCTTGAGATCTCTTTGGTGTATGTGAAATTTCTCAAAGTGTGATAACAATTACTGACTTTTTTTGTTATTTTTTTATTATTATTTGTTATTTTGTTATTAATTTAACTGATCTTCAGAGACTGAGGCTAAGCTACATCTTTGCTTATGGAAGACTTGTTTTATCATCTGTTCGAAGAAAATAGTACTTGAATTTATCACAAGTGTGTTGTGAGGGATATTTTGCTGAAACGTGGACTGTAATGCCTCCTTTTGAAGGGGCACTGCATCACCAAAGCTGCTTCTGAAAGTTTTTGTCAGTCTCTTGCTTAATTGAAATTTAAACATCAAGTATGTTAATGAACAGGATTATCCCTATATGTTGGCATTTCACAGAATACTTTCTTGCAAAGGTAACGTGTGCTATATGCCACATATGGGCCAGTTTTTGATGCTTCTGATGAGGCTGAGCAATGTCTTCATTTGAGAACACTTCTGTTTATTAAAGTGAGATTGCTCATAGGGTAGTTGCAGTTCAGCATGAACAAGAGTTTTTTGAGTTGTCTCTTGTTTATGAGTCACTTGAGAATTTCTGCCTGGTGTTAACGTCTATGGATTCTGTTAGGTTCATGGTGCATGCATCAAAGAAACAGTATGTTCCTGTCTCATGGAGCCTTGCATCCTTTAAACATGCCTCAGGGAGGCATTTCGTGTCATGACCTCAAAGAGACTTTCTCATGCTAAACGTCAATAAGAACTGTGAGAAATTCTGGCACCAGCTTTTATAAACATGTATGCTTTAAATGTATGATTAACATTTAAACTAATCAGCTATTTTTGGAGGTTGCTTAGAGATACTGTGGTCCATGTGGGAAATCTTCATTTGATAGTGCAGAGGTGAGATGGGATGGCTGGTTAACAAATCCAGATGGCGCTTCTGCAACAGTCTGATTCCTTTGGAAATCTCTGAACATGTCAGCTGGTCAGAGCTGCTTACCTGTAGAAATTGTGTCCTGCTTCCTGATAATCATAACTGTCTAAGGTTTTGCATGCCCTGATACTAAGCTTAGCCCAGTACTAGTGAGTTACTGGATTCACTGGGGTTTTTGATTTGTATTTTTTGCTATATTTTCAAGGTCAGCTAAATTGTTTATCCCTCAAGTGTTCATCTGGTGACTTTTCCCAGCTCCCAAACCTGTATCTCAGTTAGGCTGCCTTCAGCCCCTACAAGAGCCGTGATGATTAAGCAGCCACAGCTGAAGAACTTTCCATGGTACCAGAGTTACTTAGGCTTTAGCTTGAATGACAGCTACATCTGATGGGACGAAGAAATTAGTTGAGCAGCAAAGTGAGACATTGAAAGGCTCTTTGGAGCAGTGTGTTTCTTTCCCAGTAAAAGTAATTATTGTGCATTAGATGGTAATGGCTCAAGTGTTCAGCAATGACATTGCTCAGCTGAGTAATAGCTTGTTATTCTTCTGAGGACAGTGTGTGCCTTGTGATTGACAAACAGATCAGCCCTTGCTCCACAGGCTGGAAATTTGGTGCTCCTCAGAGGGGTTTGGCACTTTAGCATATAAAATCACTTTTGTGTAGTAAATCTTGAATGTTTTTCCTAAGCACTGAACTGTAGTAAAATTGATGGACACTGCTTTTAATAAAGCTGAATAAAGCAGCATATGATTGCTATTCATTTCTATTCAATTGACTAGAGATTGACAAGAACTCTGCAGCATTTAAACTACTAAAAAGCAGGAGGCTTAACTTCATTTTCGCTGTGGACAATCAAATTGAATTGGTTCTACTTAGGAGGGTAGAGCTGGGATTTTTCAAGTGGCCCGTATTTTGCAGACTTGTTTTCTGCTAGGCTTCTTTTCTACTCTGCTGTTTATCTTCAGGGCACTAATACTACTTTGTTGTGAAGGAACTGAAAAGATCACTGAAAACAAATTTTACCTCAATTTTAAAACAACTGAAGTTGAAATAGGGGTGTGGGAAGCATCAGTGGAAGAAGAAGGTGTTCCCTGATGCTGCATTCCATCTGGTTGGAATTTCAGCACTTAAATGTAGGTTTTATTAAGGATCTGGCCTGTAAAGAGCACCTTTAGCGTCATGGTCAATGACTGTGTAGATCTTTCCAGATAGGGCTTTAATTTGATTGTCCTTTTTAGGCAGGCTTTTGTTGGCAGAGAGAATGAATAATGGCTGATCCTTATTTTCTTTTGTTTCAAGCATGTTAATGGTGCACTCCACTGCCTTATGGTGTGTGTATTTCACTTTAAGCTTGCAAAGATAACCTTGCATCCTGCACAGCCATACACAGCTACATATTTTTTGATACCTTTCCTCACTATAACTTGGCATTCTCCTTTTCTGAAGGGTTAACAAGCTAAAGTGTTTCTGCAGGGAGAGGGACTCATTGGAAAGGAGCCTTTTCCTTTGTGAAGGTTATTATTAGTGTTAAGTACTATGCTTAGGCTAATTTACTTCTGTGTGTTAAATGTAGCAATTTCCCCCTATAAGAAGTAGTGTAAATGTTTATAAGCAGAACTGCTCTCCCAGTTCTTCTGATTTTCCTACTGAGTAGTTTCCATTAGTTTCTCTTAAATTAAACTAATACTTTTACAAAAAAAAAGAGAGGAAAAAAGGCATGAAAAACCCATCTAGAACTCTAAAGTTCTGGTTAAGGATGCTGAGAAGAAGAGACAGTATTACAGCTTTAATTAAATGTTGAAAAGTTTCCAGGAAAAGAGCTCCTTTCCATAAAGAATTGTTTGGTTGGTGGTTTTTGTTTGGTTTGTTTGTTTGTTTGTTTTTGTTGTTATTTTTGGTTTTTGGTTTGGTTTTTTGCTTAGTTTCTTGTTTTGAGTTTTTGATGGGTTTTTTTGTTTGTTTGTGTGAGGGTTTTTGTGTGTGTTTTTGTTTTGGTTTGGTTTCTTTTTGTTTGTTTGTTTGTCCCAATATCTAAAGGTTCATTTTGGCGGCAGCAAAGTACCTGAAATTTTAGATGCTGGGGCTTTTTCTTTGTGTGTTCTGATTAAAAAATTCTTAATCTGCTTATTAGTAATGACTACAGAGAAATAAACTCCTATGATGGGAAGAGGGAAAGGAGGGTATGGACCTGATCACTGCAATTCCTTGGTGCATACTTGATGGAGCTGGAGGTTATAGCCAGCTACCAGACGGAGACACATCCGCAGAAGAAATAGTGGTTTTTGCCATTCTTTCAAAACGAAATGGGCTTCTCTGTCCCAGGTAGGGTGACTTGAGGGAGCTGTGGCCTTAACTGGTTTTGTTTCTTAGCCTTTGAAGACGCTGACAGTGCTGTGGATGACCGGGACAGCGACTACCGCAGTGAGACCAGCAACAGCATCCCCCCTCCGTACCACACCACGGCCCAGCCCAACGCCTCCGTGCACCAGTTCACGGTACCCTCGCGCCTGCAGCAGCAAGGGGTCCTGCGGGATTCCTGTGCTGACTCCCTGCAAAACTATGATCTGGATTATCGGGAGCAGGTGGCCATCAGGTGGGTGCTGTCTGCTGGGTAGCTCTTCTTTTCCCCTTGTTTTGTAGCAAGGCCATGAAGCTGCTGTGCTGGCAGGGGAGGGTGGATAAAGGGCTTTAAAAATCTTCTGTTAAGAGGGTGTTTTGTTAGCGTTGGGACTGTGCTGTGAACAGGGAAAAACACATGAGGCTCTGTGTTACACTAGATCTGGGAGTTCAGGGAGTTACCTTTGTAAGATACGCTCAACTTTGAGGTCATTTACTCTTGGCTGTACATTCCCCTTACCTTTTGAAGGCCAGAGCACTGAGTAGTTGATTGTTCTGGTACCATTGCATGGGCGTGCCTTCCAAGCTAGTGAAACACAGCCTAGCAGAGTTATCCTAAGGGGAGCTTCTTTCCCAAGCAGATTTATTTTCTGTCCTGGATTAGCTCTGGTTCTATCGACTCTGTCAAAACAACGTATTCAAGAAGAAAGTCTGTAACCAATTAGTTGGGGTTTTTTGGTTGATGTTTATTTTGGTCATCATATAACACTGTTGAATTCTGTGCTTTCTCTTTTAGCTTACATTAAGCTGTATGAAAAATGGTTACCTTGATCTAAATTATCTTTTTGACCATAAATCAGTGGTTTCACAACTCGTTTTAACTTAAGTATTGAGCATTACAGCATTAACTATTAATAAGTTGATAATAGAGCTGGCTGTGTAAGGAGAGAGCAGAAGAATTTGGACAGTGCTGGTCAGCTTGGTAAGAGTGGGTGTGTAGAACAGGCTATGCTGCTGCTTCTGCCTTAGATGTGGAGGGAAGAGGCAATTGCTTAAAGACTATCACAGATGTGCAGAGTTTTATATGTATTATAACTGATTCATTCTACTTTATCTCCCTTGGTAAGAATGTTCTTGTTTTCTGAAGCCTGAACCTGAATTCAGTTGTCTTCATGGGTGTATGACTGAGGCTAAATTTTGCTCTTCTTGACATACGGTCATTAATGGTAAAGGATGAGTTTTAGTGGTAACATTTAACGGTGTTATTGAGATTTCAAGAACCGAGGCAAATGTGCCAACAAAATGCGTTCACTGCAGTGTGACATGACATTCCTAGTGCTCTTTTCCTAGTCCATTAAATATCTTATATAAGCAAGTTATTCCCCTTCCCACGTGATTCTGTGCTGCTGGTTTGCAGTGGTAAAATTGCTGAAGATCTTAATGAAAGTCTGCGTAGATGAGCTGAGGCATTCTCTTTATGGAAGAGCCAAACTGAACAGTGGGACTGGGCTCCCAGCCAGGGGAAGCCAGTGGTGGCTGTGTATTTTTGCAGTTGTGTGACTTCTTGGGGTGGTGTTGACAATACAAGTAGTTTTTCATGGCTCGCCTTTCTTGGAGCCAGGGTGTTTGTGAACTTTTAACTGTATCTAAAAGATGAATTTGTTTGTAAGACCTTCCAAAGAAGCACTTTTGATATGAATTGTTACGGAATACCAAGCTATAACATGGATTTGTGGTTTTAGGGGTTTTTTTTCTGATTTCCTGAAGTATTGGTGAGAAACAATCTTGACTGATAAAATTTAATGAGCTTTGTGGTCTGCTAAGGTCTAAAATTACTTTATGTCCAGGAAGGCTGGATGTTGATAGGTTCCCTCTGAGCCTTCCTGTTCCCACGTGTCTTTTCCACATGCTCAACAAGATTTTTTGCTACATATTTAATCTTAAAACTTAAAAAATGCAAATAAGCTTTCCAAAGAAGCTATGTGGGATTCTCATGCTTACTAGAAAGGTATTTCTAATGAGCTGGCTGAAAAGAAGCACGTGGGTAGATCTTAAATATTTTCAAAACAGAGTTGTAGCTGAGTATTGCTAAACCAAACTGTGTTTGAGTTTTGGTCCTAGAAGCTCTTAGTGCTGTGGACCAGGCAGTCACCTGATGAAATCAGTGTTCCTGACACACTTCAGGTTGCAGTTTGTGACAATTGGTGGTTGCTGAGGAAATGATGGCTTGTAGGAGGCTGTCCTGGGCAGACCCAGAGGAACCAGATGAGGTTCTGCTAGAACCTGACTTGAATTGGGCAGAACGTTGTCAGTGCCAAAATACCTCCGTTGAAACTGTCCTAACACCTGAGTTTTTTTCTTACAACATTTGAGTTTGGGTGGAAAAGTTCTGATTCTCTTTATTAGCTGTTCCATGTGATCATACTCCTTTGATAGAAGTACATGTATTTTCTTCCACCCTTTCCTAGGGACAATAAGCAATATTCTTATTTGTCCTTGGAGAATGTTTTGCTGCCAACAGCCAGTTTGGCTTCAGAATAGCAGATATCTTCCCCTCAGATTTTATTTATTTATGTGTTTTTAAGCACTAACTTTTCTTTGCAGTGTTCATTTTGTATAACCATTTGTCCTCCATGTCTCCCTGCTCTTGCTCTCTTCGCTGCCAAGGCGATTTGATAGCATAGACTCCACTGTGAGTGGCTGCACTGACCCAGAGTCCACATCTGAGTGTAGTCAGATGACAAGCTGCCAGTGCTCGCTAGAGAGCAGGCGCTCTCTAGATCTGTCGGATAGGTGGGTTGACCTCTCTGCACCTGTGTGCCTGTCTCCACCCTGCTGTTGCTGCTGCTATGAAGTGGTCTTGTGATACATTTCAGCTGATGTTTGCTGTTTGCCTCCTCTCTCTTTCAGATCTGTGGTAATTAAGTGCTGGGCTGATGGTGTCATGTCTTTGTCCTCTCATGTGTTGGACTTCTCATCATTGCTTTATTTCTTGTGAAAGGGATGCTTTGTAGAAGTACAGGGAAAACACATATGGGAAAAGGAGTACAATTGCAAAGAAAAGTAATTTCCTTTATGCCTAAATTAGCCTATTGTTGGTTCAGCATTTACAGATAATGGCTCTTCAGGCATTCATGTAGCTCCCATTGCTTTCAGCTGAGATTTGGAAGGTCTTGATCCAGTAATTATGGTGGCCCTGGGAGTCTTTTAAATTTCACTAACTTTTAAAAGAAAATTATTTCAATTACTGTCTTACAATTGTGAGCAAGAAGTGTAGTAGGTGTACTAAATGTTTATAACAGGAGTCATTTAAAGTAATGAGCATCATTCCAATCAGAGTAAGTTGGGTAATACTGGTGGAAATGCAGTACTAAACCAGCAGCAGTGAAAATGCAATGACCTGTTTCTTTTTCAGGGCTATCCCGATGGTATTCTATGCTGGGCTGCCCCATGCAACTCTCATGGTGAAGACTCTTGTATTAGCAGTATCCATGAAATGCCTGGATGCCCTCTGTCCTTTCCTTTCTCTTACCCTGCTCTTATGGGGTCAGGGCATATGTGTCCTCATGCTCCCTGGTTCTCAACAATGGACGATGTGAGACAAAGCTACAATGCATCCTTCAGATGACTATTTTGATATTTTTATATCCGCTTTCAACCTCTTTATTTTTTATGTAGATTGTCAGGAGCTGTTCTTGTGAGATTCAGATAAAGAGGAAGCTTTCTTGCTACTAGCCTTGGGGCTGTTGAACAATTGAGATAACCCTTCCGACCAAGGGCTTGGAATTAATCCCAAAATCCCAAGGGTCATTTACTTGGGTTTCTGAGAAGCTTAGAATTGTTTCACCACTTCAATCCATTCTCCCACAGTGGGCAAGTATAGGCTGCTGGATCTGTTTAGGTGCATTACAGAGGGGAAGTACAGATCCTGAAAAGCATCTGAGGCTTGCAGTGGGCTAGTTCCCAGTGCCAGTGTTTTGTTTTGCCTTCTGATCCAGTGACACCCCTGAGAATCCTAATTTTGTGTTGGTAGGAGCCCCTCCAGGCCAGTAGCTGCAGTGAGAGCTTTCCCAGCGAAGAGGAGTGGTAGAGCAGCTGGAACTCCTCACGCTGCTGGTGTACACGGTTTGCACGCTTGCCTGGAGTCCAGTGACCCCTGAGTTTTTACATGAAGTCTCTGCTTTGTAGCCACCCCTGGGGGACACAAAGTCCCTGCGTGCTTTATGAATACTGCTAAAACAAAAGTCTGCAGCATGAAGAGACCAAAATGCAGGCACAGTATAGTGGTATGGTGCGCGTGGGCACTGTATCTCAAAGTAGTCCTGTTACTGCAATAAGTGACTTCTTTTCAGCATGCCTAAAAAAGTAACAGCAGAGTACTGGTACAGCCAAGGCTGTGTGCCCTCACTTGATCACAAAAAGCTGTTCTCCTTCAAACAGGCACTTCTAATTTTTGTGCAGCCATAATGGTGTAATCTCACAACCCATGCTGCTTTTTTTGAATATTTGATTGAAATGTAATGGTGGTAGATTGGCAGGTTTTCAACTTTGTTATTTCTGAATGTTTCTGATTTTAATTTTCCTTTATTTAATGCCTGTTTTGCCATTACTTTTTTTTCTGTCTTTTCTAGAGCTTTTTCTAAAACTGTTATTTTTCCCTTCCTGTTTTTTTTTTGCTGCCTCTCTTTCTTTCCCTTCCACCCTCTTTATTTCTCATCTTAGACAAGGATCTCTAGCTAGAAATGAAAGAGTCAGGATCATTCCATTTAACTCTGAAGATGGAGAAGAAGAACAGGAGAGTAACTATGAAGAGCTAGGAAAATTGCTAATAGAGGAATTCTTAGAAAAAAATCATAAAAATAGAAGTTGTCATGAGAAAAACATTAAAAAGATGCAGACTCACTCAAAACGAGAAAATTTCAGTCACTGTGAAAGATCAAGGTGCTGCCAAAGTGTGTGTGTGGAGTCAGCATCTGTAGATGTCCCCAGATATCCTGAGGAATATGATACAATAGATAGAAGAAGGAAAAAGAAGCTGCGATACAATTTTGGAGGGAGAGAACAAATAAGCCTGCAAAGTAATGGAGGTCTGCATTTTCCTGGGGAGAAAACAGTTTATTTCAATGGTGTGGCAACTAGTTCTGAACTAGTTGATGATTTCCCAGTATATGATAGAACTGGAAAATATAACAGTAGCTCAGAAAGTAAGGAACGGTTACCTGCTTATCCAATCCTGCGTCCATACAAAAATGGGTTAATGGTTAAAAGTGGCAAGTTGCCCAGCAAGCAGGGTAGGAATCGCGATGATTCACTTCATCTCAGTAACACTGAAGACATGAAACATGTTGGAATGCCAGAGAACGCTTTTGTGCCTGTGGATGTCCTTGAGGAATTTGACAGCAGTGCTTCTGATGAGTTCCAGTACTCACCTGTTTCAGATGATGAAATGGAGGAACTGGCTACACTTTCAAAAACATGGTGTGATTCTGACATCAGCCATTTGAGAAACTTAACTGTTAATGGCCCTACAAATATGGGCTCCCATATAAAGGCTAGCTCTGATAAAAAACATAAAACTAAAGAAAGCAAGCGTGTTCATAGCATACAAGACTTGACCCTGTCTCCTGTTGAAGAACCCAGCGAGGAGTACATAGACACAATGGATGAACTTCAGTGTCTGGTAGAATCAGTCTCAGAATACTTGGCTGAAAAGGAGGAAGAAATCAGCAAATTTGGTACATTGCCAAAAACCAAAAAAAATGTTGAGAGCATGCCACTGAAGCAGGGTAATGCTGATAGTTCAGTAGAAGCTAAAAAGTCTGAAGAGACCAAACAATCTGCTGCAGAGGAGAGTACCAAAGGCAAATCTGAATCTCTTCCAGACTTGTCAGGTGTGAAAAATACAGTAAATTCCCTGTTCAGCTCTTTCACAGAAAAGGTAGGGTCAAGCACAAAGCAGCTCACAGCATCTGTTGAAAAGCTTGTTTCTTCCACCCCAGAGAATACAGAAAACAAAAACTCATCAGAAGGTGGAATCTTGAATGTATTTTCTAATAAGTCTAAAAGCGAGAGTTCATCTTCTGGAGGGGCAGCAGATAATAAAGCTGACACCAAGTTCTCCATTCAGTCTTTGCTACCATCCCCGGTGAGTGGGGATAAAAGAGCCCAGAACACAAACTCCAACAAGCCAGAAACCACTGAGGTGGACAGTAAGGCTTCTGCACCACATCATCCCCAAGAGTCACAAGGAACTGCTGCTGACGGCCAGCAGAACCAACATTCGGTTGTGAATTCCGTTCTAGGCATGTTTAATCCTTTAAAGATCTTCTCTGAGAAGGAAGTGCCAAAGCAAGAAGTCATAAAGGTAGAACACACCAAGGAGGACAGCCAGGCTGTAAAAGTTGATGAGGCCAACAGGAGTGAAACACCATCTGCACAGACATTAGCCAGGACCAGCAGCATTGTTCCGGAGGTACAGAAAAGTGAGACTGGAAGTGAGGCAGAGGTAAACGCAAGTAGCACTTCTGTGTCTTCAATCTTTGGCAGGCTCACAAACTCAGTCAGTTCCTTCAGCCTGAAAGCCAATTTTGATGGTCTCTTGGCTCCCAAGCAGCAGGATGTGCCACAGAAGCAACCAGATTTGCATCCTGTTACAAACCAACCAGCTGCCACTGTGAAAGAGGGTGCACCGACTGCCAGGGAGCAGCCTCCTGCAAATCACTCAGGAGATCAGCATACTGCAGGTCATGGACTAGGAAACAAGCAAAACAGAGGTAATGTGGAGCCTAATTCACAACCTCAAGGTCAGGGTACAGCATCTGAAAGCTTTTTCAGTCCACTCAAGAAGTCTTTCAGTCAGTTGTTGCTTCCTTCTGCTGAACAAGGGCAGAAAGAAAGTACACCTGAGCATTTTAAAGGCCATAAGTCCGAGGAGGATATAAGACAAAATAGCTCATCAAAGGAAGAGCACTCATTTCCTTTAACTGGGAAGCTTCCTTTCTTCAGTGGTCTGGGTTTTTCAGCAAAGCAGGAACAGAAGAATGAGAGGGGAGGCTTTATTCCTTCGTTATTTAAATTTTCTTCTGCCGAAAATCTTCCACCTACAAAGGACCAAAGAAGTGACCAGAGTTCTAGCAGCAATTCTTTACCTGGAGACAGAAACAGGAATTCAGAAAATGCCATTTCATTAAAATCTAGCTCAGTTCCAAATTTATCAGACCAAAAGGAGGAACTTTTCCAGAGAAAAACCACAAATAAAGAAAAGCTATCTGATGGCCAAGTAAACAGAGAAAAGCATCAAGAGAGTGCCTCTGCTACCATTAAGGCTGCAGAAGAGCAACAGAGAACTAAGAGTGCTCAGGAAGAACCTAGAAATGTAAAAGGAGGGCTTACGAGGGAAGGACTAAACAATAGCTCAGTTGAATCCACCTCTTCAGCCAAAGGGCCAGAAGCTGCAAATGCAGATGACATGGAGAAGAAGCACACACCAGGTTTTCTTTCTGGGTTTCTTCGCATTTCTTCCAATGAAAACACAGCGCATAACCAAGACCTAACTGCTAAAAGTGAGGGTGATGGCCAGAAAAGCACTTCTCCTGGATTATTTTCTGGCTTATTTAAGTTAGCTTCAAATGAAAACTTGTCTGAATCTAAGCAAGAAAAGCTGAAAACAAACTCTCTGGGCTTCATGAAGCTCTTTGATAAAGGTGAGGATTCTAGCTTGGAGACAAAACCCAGCAACTCAGGAATGGCTTCTGACACTCAAGGCAGCACTGGAGAAAGGCAGGAAGCTTCCAGTTTCTTAAAAAATCTCCTGCCTAAACCAAAGGAGAAACAAGATAATGTGAAAACAGTGGAACCTTCCAAAACTACTGATCGCCTGTCCAGTGCAAAAGTAAATAAAACAACTGAGCCACATGTTCCCCACTCCAGGCAGCCTGTGCAACCTGAAGCTCTAAATGTGCAAGACAAGGTACAGGACTTATCTGGAAAGCCTAAAAATAGTAGGCATATTCCTCATCAGGATGCAGAATCTAGAGTTATTCCAACTCCTTTAAACAAAGGATCAAATGAATTTCTCAATTTGACTAACAAAAGCTATAACCCTATGGATCAATACTCAGCTTATCAGGAAACAAGAAACCATTCTGGCTTTGAATGGGAATATGAAATGGGGGAACTGGCTGACACTCATGGAATAGCAGTTCCAGTTTACTACGTGTTAAACCAGAACTCTGTTCTGCCCCCTCAGTTCCTGGACTGGCCTGAAAATGATATGGTAGTGAATCTGTGTAAAAAGGATGGGAATGCAAATGTGATGGATTGGCAGACTAATGCCAATTTTGATGGACAGAGTTTAGATTTAAGTGCAATGTCGTATGAGTCATTTGACCAGTTAATGTTTCAAGACGTTTGTTCAGAAGAAAATGATGCATGGGCTGCTAATTCTGTGAATGAAGGTTATAGTAACTTTCCACCCTTTGAAAGAGATGGCAGTTACTCATTTGAGGAGCTGCCCATGGATTTAAGCTACTCCTCTGGCTGTGACGGAACGATGTGGACACTAATTGACCAAGACACTTCAAGTATGGATGAGAGCTTCATGTACTCCTCCTATAGCCGGGAGTATCAGGAGTGGATAATGATGCTTGAGCAGGGCATATGGTGGCCATCAGAAGATGGTGATTGTGGATACTACATGTACAGTGATAGCCAGTATGTGTATTCACTGCTCACTGATCCCACTGGACAGTATGTCTATGTGTGTGCTCCTGAAACTTATTCTTACCCAGACTGCTGGGATTATAACTTTCAGATGGATTCCATTCCAAGAGCTGTGCTAGAAGACAACACTATTGCTGTTTGTGGTTTTAAAGTCCCTCTTGGCAGTGAAGATGAGCTGTTTTGGTTTGCTGAAGAAGAGTCTCTAGATGATTATACAACAAATAAACCCCTGGATTTGTCAGTAGCTCTGCAGAGGAGTGATCAGCTAATGAACATGAATTTGGAAACTTTTTCACAAATGTTTGAGGAGTCTATTTATTATCAGAGAGAGCAACCATTAGACTTCTCAGGTTATAAGCTTCAAAAACTCAAAGTAGATTTTAGGCCTGAGAAGGAAACTCCCTATCATTCAGAGGAACCTCCATTAACCCTTGATCTCAGAACACATTCCAGAGCAGCTTTCAATAAATCCCTGAGTAAGGAAGTCCACACCAAGGAAGTTGAGAAGGCTGTCCCTGTGACAACTTCTGGGAGTGGGTCATCAGGATTCTTTGGTTTCCAACTGTTTCAGTCTGCTCCTAAAACTGAGGAAACTGTAGCATCTACTGAAAGAGCAACAGAAACAAAAAAGACAGAGGAAGATAAGAAAACACCAGTGAACAAAGTTAGCTCTTTATTTTCTGCTTTGGGTGGACTAATTGGAAAGTCTTCAGGCCCTGGCTCTGAGACATCAGAAGATTCTGCCTTGAAGAGAACAGACACACAATCAATATCATCTGAAAATAAAACTGATGTTTTAGCACTTACACCAAATAGAAAATTGGATGAGGCACAGGCAGGGCAGAAGTTTCCTGTTACATCAGAACCGAGAAGGAATACTTCATCAGAACTTAATTTGGAGGCTGCTAGAAAGGAAAAGCCAGAATTAAATCAAACGGAAAACATCCGTGTTAAAAAACCAGGATTAACAAGATCTCCCTCTATCCTGAGCCAGACTGCTCCGGACAGCAGGCCCATACGAGAAGAGAGAGCTGTCAAAACAACACCAGCTTCCAGACATCTTGAAAGGCACGCAAACATTAGTGAACCTACTCAGTCACAGCCAAATCAGAGCCAACCAGCCACTGA